AAATATGTGGGTACATGAAAAACCCAAATCCTCAGAAAAATTCTTACCACTCTGAGAAGGACTGAGTGCATAATGGAGCCCAGAGTGGAAATCTGACATAGCCCCAGTGTGGGGGAGATGAGCAAAGCTTAAAGGTTTGATATAACAGAAAACTGTCTGAACTGAAAGTCAGTTAATTAAATAATGAAACCCCAATTATATGAAATTGTTCCTTAATAGGTCTTCCCTGCTGCATGCCCAAAGGAAAAAGCGAGAGGAAGAAAATTCTGGTGATGAGTTTGTTAGATTTGACATTCACGTAGACTCAGGTTCGGCTGGGCCTGAGCTACATGTCTGGTCTGAGTAATGCATTTTGCTCTTTAATGGTGCACACTACTGATATGACTCAAATGCACAGGAGCACCGACAAGCACCGGATGCTTTCCTGCCTCCAAGCACCTGATCTGTCACCAGCCTTCAAAGAGAACAGCTCTGCCAGGGGTCATCATTCATTGCTCTATCACCACCACACAAGCTTCCTTTTCTTAAAAAAAATGTCTCTGGAAATGATGACTTCTTTCTTTTAGGCAAATGTAGGCTGGTCGAGACATGCACATGAGAATGAAAAACCCATACAACATCATCCTTGTCTGTTGGGCTCTGCCTTCGTAATACAGAAATGACAAATGTCATCTCTTCCCTCCACTAAAAATAATTTTTGTCCTCATTGCAGCTAATGAGTTACAGGATAAATAAGCTATAACCAATCATGCTGAAATATGTTTGGCTACTTTTCCTGCCTATTAAGTTGTTGTGCATTAAGGACCACAGCAAAGGCTAAAACTCCTAATTACTATTGAACTGTAACCAGCAACAAAGGCATGTATCTATTTAAACACAGTGTCTTAACAACGAGGTTTGCCTACATAGGCATGTCTTTGTGGCATGAGGATTGCAACAACAATTTAAGATGCAGCTTTTCATTCCAGAACATATAAAAGCAACTCAAAGACTATTTTTATATGACAGCTGGCCAAATCCCCATCCTAGTTCTCCTACAGAATACCTGGAGTAAAGTTGCAGAAGCTTATTGAATCATTACAGGTTTACACGAGTATAAATGTTATTGGAGTTTGCAGTAAGATGTTTACTGGGCATCACTGCAGCATGCACTCTTCTGTTACCAGCATCAGGCAACAGGAAACAACATGAGTCCTCCAGGAAGTAATATTGGTAAGTGGGAATTCTGACCGGGTGATCTCATGCTACGCCATACTTCATGCTGTGAAGAAATTCTGCCCCATGGCACGGAGAGCAGTCAGTAAAAAAAGCATTGGTTTCAAAGCGCAATCCGCCATACACAGTTGCGCTCCTCATAGCAGATCCTTACTGGCTTAGTTTTACATTGTAAAAGAGAAGGGGATTTTGACCCCTTCTTGTGAGATGCCACTGAACAGTGGCTTTTATACAAACCAGTACCAGCTGGGAACTGGACTAACAATGTGCATTCATATGAGCTCATATGAATCCTTTGACATAAGCAATATAACCAGAGAGTAAAACCCAAGTTCCCTCCCCCCCCCCAGTAATTCACCAGGGGAAATCTGACTTCCTGCCTAACACCACCGACATGTACTGGAGCTTAACCAGAAAAAAAGGGGGGGGGGGGGGGAAGAGAAAAAAAAACAAATCAATAATAAAAAGAATCATTGCTGTCAGAGACTGAGGGTGGTGGGAGGGGGGAGAGGTTACATACGTATATTATTCACTTTAGTGGGGCTGGAGGAGGGGGCAGTCTGGATAGCATGCCGTAGGCTGTCTTTCAATATTAGACACAGGGTTTTTTTTAGAAAATTAACATTAGTACAAACAGAAGTCATCATAAAACTCCCAGGCAAAATTACCTGTTCGTATTTTAGGTTTCTGTTTGACAGACATTAAATATGTTGGGTGTTTTTTAGTACATGTACTGCTAGTGGCAGTCTTCTCCAAAACAACTATGGATGGTTAAGGAAAGAGGAGTTAATGAAGTAGCAGCTCAAACGATCCACTTCCAAGCATTTTATCTTTCTTTGTATGCAGCTAGGACAACCCTTCTGAACCAGGCAAGGGTTGATGCTATCAGTATTTATCACTGATGTGAGAGAAAGCGTCAGAACAGAAATGACAAGAGCAAGTTTATGTTAGCTGATTGAATCTGCTCCATCAGTGACAGGTTTGCTGTACTGTATGTTAAACATAGGCACCTGAGGAATGGAGCACTCCGACGTAAAAGCACCTGTACTTCTAACTCTGGATTTTAAGGGGCCTTGGCAGTTTAATATAAACTGAAATTGTACCTGTTCAGTGTCGTGGTTTTCTATTTCAGTGCTATAGTGTACATATTACGCTATAGTGTCCTACTCAAGTATGCACGATAAAATTATGCAGTCGCTGCTCCTCTGTGGCTCTCATCTGAACAAAACATGTATATATCACCATGCTAAGCCACTGATTTTGCACAGGTTGAATGCACAAGCTAATGTCATGCACTGTGGCCTTATGGCCCAAAGGGCATGAAGTTAGGCTCAGCATGAGATTTTGGAGATTTATATCTAAAACACTTATATCCAACATCTAGACCCTGCTGAGATCTTCACAGGCCCCCTTAAATACTGCCTGAAGTCCTTCAGCCCCTGTTATAGTAAAATCCCCAGGTACTGATGGTCTCTCTGGTGAGTCTGTGTCTCCATTTCCATGCTACGGAGATGCTCGGGGGCCCTTTTGGTGCCAAAGCCTCAGCAGGACCCTCAAACAAAGCATTGTTCTGGGCATCTGAACTACCAGGTCTGGCCCTACCAGATGTCCCTGTCCATCTCATCACCTCCTAAACACAGCTAGGGATGAGCCTGTTAAGATTCTTTTCCAGTAGGTGGACCACCTCTTTGACATAATGGCTTAGAAGCCCTTGCTATGACTGCTCAGATGAGCTTAGAGTCAAGTATCCCTTTCCCAAACAAAATTAACATACAAGCACTGCCTTTACTGCACTATGAGGAATTCCAGTGCAATGCAAATGGTCAGTAAACCAATTGTTTCATATTAGTTTTGCCTTTCTGCTAAGAAAAGAGTCCCTGGCTATGAAAGGTTTGTGTCTTAGCAATGAGACTTCCAGAAGTGGTAGCAAAATGGGAGAGTCCAAATAAAAGTTCTATCTTTCAGAACAGGAAGGAAAACATATATGAACTTGAAGAAGTGTCTGGGCAAAGAGCAGAAAGCATCACAGGGTCAAAATCCCCTCAGGACACTAGGGAAATACCAGAGCAGTTAAATAAAAGAAGGCCCTACTAGCTTTAACATTCCCACACAAGTAAGTCATAAGAGAGGCTGGGCACTCATTTACATGGGAGCTTCAGAATGAGACAAGCCCCATGTGACTTCAGGGTTATGAGTAATGGGCCCAGAAAACAGCAGAGAAAAATCAGTGGGATCTGGGGCATTTCAGCTGAAATCCTTCCTCTTTCCAGAAGCTGCAGTTAACAGCAACTGGAGATTATCAGCTTCGTGACACTGAAGGTGCTATGATGGAGGCTCTGCCTTTTCAGCAAGCAGGGACTGATGGCTACAGGGGCTGGATGCCATGAGTTGCTTCCACCTCCTGGTGCCTGGCTGCAGACATCCCTCCCCGTCTTTGCCCACTCTTTCAACACTAAGGTGTCTGCCTGGTGCAGAAGTTCGATGAATTAAGTGGGCATGTGAGTTGCATGAGCTGTAAAGAAAGGGGAAGTAGGGCATGGATAAATGAAGACTCAGATTTTGAAAAAGAGGAATATGCTGTAGGGATGGGGCTGGCAGATGCACCAGGCTCTGCTCTGGTGGGGGGGAGGCTGACTTGTAGGTTTTATTTTCCAAAAGGAGTGGTACTTGAGTCCAGAAGTTGGGCTAAATTGTAAAGAGAGCAGTGTGCATTAGGAAGGTGGACAGGCATCCAGGAACACAGGCTACACAGCTGAGTGAGTTACAAGGACCAGCGAACCTATGGCAAAGTTACTCAGGAGCTTAACATCTACATGGTTTCACTTGTGACAGTACTGAAGCATGTGAGGAGGTGTGCTCCTGAGCAGTCGGACGGGATTAATGAGTTAACCGGGATAGAAAGCAGGTAACCTAGAGAGGTCAGCACTTAGGAAAGGGTCCTCTTTGCTAACTAGACAGGGACCATCTGCAGCTCTGGGTCATTTTTATCCTTCATGTTATGGGCAACATGTAAAAGTCATGGTAGTGTACAGTATTGCTTATCTAGGCAGAGGTCTGAGACACCTGAGTGCCAGTACAGGCATACTCATGCCATACTGGAAGAGTGTTACAGTACAGAAATCCTCTGGATGTAAGGCTAGAGCTTGGGATGAGAAGGAAACACTACTGGGATGAGAAGGAAGCACCACTATTAACTGCTTTTCAAGTAGCAGCTGGCAACATGCTTTTCAGGAGCTACTGGGCAATCCAGATGCCACGACCAAAAGGCAAGGGGCCTTCTCGTGAGGGGGGGTGGTAGAGCTGGCTGGTGCCTTTGGGGTCACACACAAGGCTGGGCAGAGTTGGGGATAACCTGCTGCCATCGCCACCTCCTAAGATGGCACTCAACTACCATTGGTTGTGAATCCCTGGTATAACTGATGGAAGAATGAAGAAAGCAAAGCCAAGTCGGTCTAGCTCAGCTTACCTTGAAGCTGGTCCTGCAACATCCTTACTCTCCCACATCCATCCTTTTGGGGACTGGAGATACTCTGTACCCACAGGAGCAACTCCCTGTGCACACCGACAGTACCAAGAGCTCTTCCTAAGAGAAATCTGACATAAGGTGAGAGTATGCAGAGATTCTCAGTAAGTTATCACCTCTTCCAAGTGCTTGGCTACATGATCTGAACGAGGTAGCACTTGGTAACACGCTGAATGGTGGTCCTGGACAGAAATGCTTTCTTCGGGGGGGGTGTCCCATGCTCAACTGCGCTCTCTCTTATCAGTATAAAATCACCAAGTCAATCCTTCAATAATTTATTTCTTTATATCAGAGAATGTTTCTCAATTATACATTTAAGTTTGTAACTTTCAACACAAGGGTAAATACACATTAAAAAAAAAAAAACCTAGCTGTGCAAATTTCAAGTTGCATTGTTTCAAATAGTATAAATATTTTAATAAAACATGTTCACATTAAGTTTCACAAATACATGAACTTTAACAGAAATAAGTCATGAGTTTGTTTTTTTTTGTCTTTTCAAAAAACTGTTTTTTGATAAGTAGAGAAAGTTTCTAAATTTGAGAAGCAACTTAGAAGAGGTGTCACCTCCAAAATCATAGCAGCAAAATAGATGCTGAAAACTTTCAAGGCATGAAAGGAGAATAGAGAAGCAGGCATCAGGCACAACAGTAACAGCAAGATCACAAAAGTACTGCAGAGATTGAACTCCAGGAGTAAAATCTCAAACCAAAAGCATTCTCCTATGGAGCTCCAAGCTGCTTGCATAACAGAATCACATCAAGAATGACAGAATTGACAGAGAAATGGGTAAGAAGAGCAGCACGCATATTCCCAACACTTAAAATGCAAGAGAAGAGTTCCTCTGGTTTCAGAACTGAAGCTGAAGGACTTTGGGTTCTTTTTTGTCTGTTGGAGGCAATTCCTTCTGTAAGAGCAGGGAACAGCAGGATTCCATTTTCCCATCACATGCATATGCTCATGAAAGTTGCTTCTGTAATCACCTGTTTTTTCAGATGTCTTGGGATATGGGAAAGGATCTAAATGCTGATTAGTTAAACATGTTAAAGGAGCAGACCAATGCTGGTCTTGTATCTGGCTGTGGTTTACCGAGGGCTCTGCAAACACAGCACTGCTCACCATTAACACCCTGAACACCTGTGGGAGCTCCCACCTAGAAGAGCTCTGTAAGAACACCAACATGCAACCCACAGCAAGTTTCTTTAGACATGAACTGCAAGTTGCATCAGCCTGTCCTGCAGGATCCCGCTCAGGAAAGACTTGCCTCTGACTGATGTATGCGAACACAAAGAGGTCCTGCACCTCTGACAGCAGCTGCAGCGCCTCACCCGGGAGCAGGGGAGGTATTAAGAAAGAAGCAGAACTGGGAAGTTCTCTGGATTCAAATGCTTCACACTTCCTCCTGGGAAGTCCAAGAATTAAATATGGCATTGTAGGAGCTTAGTCACAAAAGCTCTGTGCAGAAGGCAACCTGCTTTTCTCAGCAGTCCTTGTATGCAGTGTTTAGAGGAAGTAGACATTTATTCCCATCTTGGGAATAAACATGAACATGAGCACACAACTTATATTCCTCCCCTCCCTCCCCCTCCCAGGGCTGTTCAGTGTTCTGGACATAGCACCATTTCAGTAAAGGAAGTAGCTGGTACTGCTTTCCTGTTCTTTACCAAGTCCTCCCCTCCACTAGCCATAGATCTGCTTGAACTGGTAGCACTCATTGCAGTAGCCGTTGCACTTGGCATTGCCATAGTGATCACAGGCAGGGGCTCGGCAGCGCTGCTTTGGGGGCTCCTCTGCAGATGGGTTCCTGGCACTCCCTGATGGTGGAAGCAGACCGAGGCGCTGGCACTCCTGGCACAAGTCATTGTTCCTGCTGTCCAGGTTGTTTCTACATGAAGCCACAGCACACGGTCTCTTCTGCTTACTCAATGCTGTTCGCTGCAGATCTCTGCGCTGCTCTGTTCTCTTGCAAAACATTAAAACACACTGTCAGTTGCTGTGCCTGCAGCACAAGTGGCTTTTCATTCATTTGCAACTCTGGTCATGGTTTGTATAGGTAATCACTGAGGTCACATGCAGACACATGCTGCTTCTGAAAAGTGCAATACCAAAAGCCAAGTTGGGCTTTACCAAAGAAAATCACAGATTATGTCATTTCTTAGAAAAAAAAAATCAGTAATTGTTTTTATCTTTGGTAACTCTCAATTCTAAAAGGGCCAAACCAAATTTATAAAACACAAAAAAATGTGGAACAAAAAGTTTGTAATGGGCTCAATAAAAAAGGCAACATGAAGTGGACTAAAGCCCTCGATGCAGTTGCATAGATCTAGAGTAGTAATTAAAATCTCTCCCCAGCCAGCAAACAAATCACCTGTTGGTCCAATTGCTTCCACTAAAATTGCTGGCAAACTCCCAGCTAAGGTAAAACTGACCCCTGTCATGATAACCCTAAACTGAGGGCAGCTTTTAGGAGTGCTGCTCAGTTGCAGCACACAAAAATCATGCCTTGTCTCTCCACGATACTTCGGATGCAGTCAGTAGAGGATTTTCTAGTATGCACCCTGAGTTGTTCACACAAGAGAAAAACATGCAGTGGTAAGCAACAGGAAGATGGTGAGAAGTTCACACTTACTTCTGGCTGTCTCACCAGCTGTTCTTCTGTTCTCCTTGCTTCCTGAAATCGCTGGTTCTGGGCTTTAATGAAGCAGTTCTGGCAGTACCCCTCCAGCATCGTGCTGCCCAGGGTGTCACAGTTACGCCACTGGCAGGACACAGTGTTACGGAAGGTGGCAGCAGAGGTCCCTGACTGACCCACTGGTGAGGACTTCCTCTGAGGTCTCCTCTGGTGGCATAGCAAAGCGCTGTCTGTAATACAAAGGACAGGAGGAGTTTGAATGAGCCTCACAGATGTGATGAGCCAAAGCAACTATGAAAAGTTACCCAATTGAAAAATAAAAATAACCCAAAACATGTGACAATCCTGAGCCCCTCAGTTAATGAACTTTCCTACATGTTACATAAATAAGGGAGCTAATACAGCCAGATTTTCACATCAGAACCTGTTGAAACAACTGATTTGGGAAAAACTTGCCCTCAGTGGGAAAAATAGACCCCACTGAAGTCAAGAGGAATTTCACCTTTGGCTTCAGCATGTCATCTGTGACCTAGCCTGACATTCCCCTGCCTCCTCCATTTCAGGAGTAATGGTAGTACAGTAGCACAGACCTTAATGGGAAAAAGTGCCTTATGCTTTTTGGGTCTTATGAAGCAATCTTATATATTCCACAATCTGAAGGAAAAAATTCTCATTGTGAACAACACTGGAAAATAAGCTATTGCAAGCTGGCATAGAGGCTCCATAATTTGAAAGCGCAGCATTGTGAAAGATGTTCCTACACACGGCAGGGGAGTTGGACTATGTGGTCTTTAAAGGTCTCTTCCGACCCAAACCATCTTATATTTCTGTGTTTCTTTTGGCACATTTGTCTGCAATGAGACGTAAGAGAGAAGCAATTATTCTCTCTTACATGTGCCTTTCACCTTCTATACCAAAAGGCTCTTTGCCTGTGTAACAGGGCAGTGTTCAAGGCCAGGTTGGATGAAGCCTTGGGTGACATGGTTTAGTGTGAGGTGTCCCATGGCCGTTGGCACTAGATGATCTTAAGGCCCTTTCCAACCCTAACTATTCTATGATTCTATGAAAGATGAAGCTTTCATGTTGTGATTTGTTCCCAGGGTATTGCGGTTTTGAAGGCCTGCCTTTAAACACACACGGGCAAGCATACGTATGATATCACCAAGGAAGATTTCAAGGTAGATTGTAACAATGCACTTCTAAATTACCTCAAAATACAAGAACATTATTTACAGTCAACTTTTACTTGATCTGCTTAGCAAGGTGACTTCAGTAGTGATGCCAGGGTGTTGTATCTGTTACATCTAGAACAGATACAGATCTTCAAATTCATCCCAAGCTTTTTAAAAGACTTGCTAACATAACTGGTTTTCAGTAACATCAATACAATAGCATTTTCCTCATTGACCCTTATAACTTGTCTAGCTGTGAAGAAAATTCATACCAAATCATGACTGCAGTGGATGGTGGGGAGGGATCAAACCCCACCTCTGTCCTTGAGCTAGTTTTGCTTCCATGAAAGCTGACAGGAAGTTTTACAAGACATTTCACAATTTCCCACACTGTTACTGTGTGCCCTCTTATGAGATATTATCAGCCAAAAAAGCACCTTCTCACACTGCTGCTTCTGCTCCACACCATTCCCATCACCCCCCACCCTTTCAGCACCCAGTGCATGCACAGCTTCATAGCTCAAGGAGGCCAATCTACAGCTGAAGTGTGTCAGAGCTCACCCCATCTCCACTTACCATGGTTTTCCCTGTACTCAAAGAAACACAGCGTGCAAAAGCCCTCATTCTGCGATGTCCCAAAGAACTTGCAGCCAGGTTTCCTGCAGAGGTTGCCCCCTCTCTTCTCCTCCGGCAGCAGCACTGGTGGCAGTGGCTCGTCGTCAGGGCTGTTGGGAACCTGATGGCAGGGGTGCTGGAGGAGGCTCTGCAAGATCTGTGATGGGTCAGATGTGGATCTCTGGTGGCACGCGGGCAGTAAAGCAGGGCTGCCATTTGAGGAGCGCTCTGTAGACCTCTTGAAGCAAGTGCTGCATGTGCCATTGAAAGTCCTTTTGACCTTCTGACGGCACACCTTGCACGTGGCATAGTCTAAATGTTTCCGGTCATCCAAGTTGTTGGAAGGACCAAGCTGCCTGGAGTTGTAGCAGCGTTCACAAAGCCCGTTGTGTTGCACATTCAATGTAAAGGGGCAGTCTGGTGTCCTGCATTTCATGGCTGTGGTCTCGCTGTATAGGAAAAGGCTTGGAGCCATTGGAGGTGCGGAGCGAGGCCCTGTTACAGGCCCCTCAGATGTCCATCCCCCAGGCTCAATAACATCGCCATGGGAGGAGCCTGCCCCAGCTGCCATCAGTTTCTCAGGTGCTGTTGAGGAGGTCTGCTTTCTTCCTTTGTTTCCTTGTGACCTCCGCTCAAAGCACTCATGACAGTAGGGCTGGGTGTTCACAGACATGTAGAAAGGGCAATTTGGTGTTTCACATTTCACCTGTAAGAGGGAGAGCTGGGAAAGAGACAGTTCCTGTCTGTTCCTGGAGCAGTTCTCTCTTCTTGCAGGTTCAGCATTCTCCTGCCACTTCTTGTACTCATGCTGCACCAGTTGAAAGTAATCTTCCACAAGGTTTATTTCTTTGGGTAGGTTGCCTTCATCTAACCTGACAGCCAGAAAAGGAAGATTGCATCAGTGGGTGAAAAGGGCAGATGGTGGGGGTGGAGGCAAATGCAAGCAATGTGAGGAGGAAATGTAGATTTAATGCACATCCATATTACTCAGCTAGAAGATCCAGGATGTTAAAACTGTTGCTGTAAATGGAAATAATTTTAAAGGCAGGTGTTCAGTGATGTCAAATGGAGACTTTCACATCTAATAAAGTGGTCTGACATGATGCTAAACGAAGTATTCTTAAAAGGATTTTCTAGGTGAGGGTTTTCTATCTGAGAGCTGTTTGCACAAAGAATATGGATAATCTCTCAAAACTGAAAAGTCTCCCAAATCCTGAATACCTCTGAAGACCAGTGCTCAGCTGAGCAGGGGTTACAATAGAAGATCCTTGTCTTCACCAGCAGCATGAGCCTCTCCTACAGTGGGTTCAGTGTTTTCCGATACAGCTTATCATGAAATCTGCTCCCGGTTTTGCCCTGTTTGGTCTGTATCCACCAGTGCAATTCTGCACACAAATTACAGGGCCTCAGTGTGGTGTGTGTGTAACACTAGCATCCATATCATCCCTACTCTGCCCCCAACAGCAGGGGAAAATCCCACACCGGAGCCTCACCATGCCACAGCTGGTAGGATTGAGGCGTGTTCTGGAACATTACCGGTAATGGTAATATCTGTGCAGTGGGCCTAGGTAAGCTCCATTTCTACTCTTCATGTATGCGTATAACCTTTGGATAGAAGGACTTCAAATTTCAAGGCTTCTAAACCAAAACCACCCAACAGCATGAAGATACCTTCCTGTGTTGTAATAGAAGCAAAGACAGAGGATACAGGGAGTCACTTCCCCCCTACTCTGGGAAAGGGGCTATACGGACACTGCTATCAGCATCCCATAAATGCAAGAAGAGACGATGGGTGCCACCAGCTGCCCCTTGCACGTTTCTGATGCTTAACCATCAGGGGAATGAGCACAGACGCCGGTTCCTCCACCAGCCACAATTTCCTGCCTACAACACTGCAACCGCCCAGGGCGTCAAGGCATCTGTGCTAAGAACATACCACTAAGTACTTTCCCTAGGGCAGCCAAAATTACACCAACTGCCTTTTATGCAATGTGCCCTTACAGAAGGCGCAAGAGTCGAGTTTAACTAGTTCCTGGATGTAACTACTTTTCAGCCACCCTTCTGTGTAATTTAAAGTCAGTGGAAGTAATGCATTGGGTTTACTCTTCCAAAACACTAGTTTCAGTCTGCTAAGTCTGAAGACATTCTTGCCTTTAAATCTGAAACTGGTCTGGGCTCATACAACTACAAAGCATGTCAACAGGAATGTAAATATTTAATATTTCAGAGGGTAAACACAGGCACTACTGTGGAAGGAAGGAAAGGCTGAAGGAACACACTGGACTGTCCAGCTTCTCCCATCTCTGTAAACAAGATGGCTTGGAGGAAACAGGAATGACACTCACTTTGCAGCATTAATTAGATGCGTTGTTCCATGATCCCAGCCTTGCACTGGAATTTCTATCACCATCAAATAGTCTTTCAGCAGCTGCTCTTTCACCCTCTCTTCTGTGTCTGTCAGAAAGTGCACACGCAAATCCTCAAATCTGCCTTTTTCACTGGTGACCAGAGGGACGGCCCGGATTTCTGTGGGGAAACAAGATGAATTAGCGATATCTATATCTATATCTATATCTATCTATATATTTTACCAGGCAGGAGTAACCACAAGTTGCAAAACATGGAGATGTCACCACTGCTGGTGAATTTTGAAGACAGAGGAGAATGGCTGGCCAGACCAACCAGTTTCTAAACAGTGCCACTGGGGGAGGACACAGACACATCTAGACCACAAACTTAGCCCTATCCCATGGAGTTTTTATGTTTCTCCCCCTAGCAATTTTCTTCTCAGTGTGGGCAGCATTGTAGATCTTAGTTTGTTATGCCTTTCCACAGGAAGATGCCTAACCTGAACCTGCAGAACAGGTATCCATTCAGAAGTGCATTAAAAAATGACAAAGCATATACTTCATGATCCCTGCCAGACAGCAGTACACTGCTGTTAGGCTGTGTCCTTCAAAGCTTCTTCTCTTATGACAAGGTGTGGAAAGGAGACCAGAACACAAGGAAGCAGAGGCCACCCTTTGACTGATTCCAGCCTGCAAGCAGGTGAGTTGCACTCTACTTTCAGATCGCATTTTGAGGGCAACCTTTAGTTCTCATTTAGTTTCAGGTTTACAGACGAAGCTGGTTTTGGTCACACATCGAGAACATATTCCAAAGGAATCTTTTACATTTATTTTAACTTTAAGAATGCAAATCTAAACCAGATTATACTTTAAATGCTTTACCACCATGGTGATACTGAAGAAGCCACATAAATACCAAAGAAGGTACTTGAAGAATACCTGGTCCGCTGTCCTTCAGAGTCACTAGTGGTGTAAAATGCATGTTGTCATAGCCAAGCACAACTGGGTACCTGTAGCATTCTTCTGCTGGCCAAAGGAGAGGCAAGTAAATACCCCCAACGTTCAGAGGAGCAAAACTGGAGCCTGACTCTAAACTTCTTACCACTTTATCTGCATAAGGGAGAAAAAGAAAACACAAATAAACACAAATAAGTATGTGCTACAGGCAAGAAAAAACATACTCTGGCTGGTTTAGAACAATTGCTAAAAACACCCTGTTCTGAAATGCATCTGCCAGAAAGCAGCCATTACCAAAGTAAGATTACCAACACAGCACAGAGTAACACAGTGAGATGACTGGCTGGGCAACTCACCTGCAAGGACAATAACTGGCCTTCTGAGGATGTTAGCAAGGATGAAGATGTGGATTTCTTCCAGTGCATTATATGGAAGCCTGTTTCGAGCCCCAGATGTTTCTGGGGAGGTCATTTCAATGAGGTATTCCCACTCCTCCTCCCAGTTCTGGGGAAAGAAACATCCCTTAGTAACAGTTCAAAGACATGGAGGTCAGGAACCAGCTGCAGCTCAGCAGGACTCAAAATAATCACATTTTCCCATTTACTCCACAGGAAAACTATTTGCACTCTCCACTAATAGCGGAATCCATGAAGCCAAAAAGCGAACTAAATCAATAAGGCAATGCTGACAAGCATCAGAAAACAGCAGCATTCCCTCAGGCCACCTTACCCGGGTGTCATAGTGGAGTCCTGTTTCTACAAACTCCTGGGATTTAATAGCCTCCCGCTGCCAGCGGAGCTTGAAGTTCCGTGTGTCAATCTCCTTCAGTGCACTAAACAATGTTTTTCTTAAGACAAGGTCAATATCTTCAATACCCCACATGTACTGTGATGCAGCATGCATGAGGCAATTGCCATCACCTGCAAAAAAAAAGAAAGAGTACATTATTTTTAAATGGTTGCTCAAGTAAAACCCCACAAGCACTCAGGATATGGAATTATGCGGCACAAATGCATATTCCCTATGTACTTCTCCCTAAGCCTCAGACAGAAGGGTTTTAATAAGGAGACCACAGCTATGAGCTCTTTGCTCAGAAAGGAAGAAAGTCTCCTCTCTACTGGTTTTGTCCCTTTGTCATTCAATAATGCCCCTTATTAACTTTGACTGGTACCACGAACTAAACTTTGGGGTCAACTGCAAACGTCAAACATAGTTGAAATAGGTTTTGAATGCAACAAAATCATCTTAAAACTACAAAAAGAACACATAACTTTCCCTCATCAGTGTTGACACAAATACACACATGATGGCACGTGGTAGAGATAATAGAAACCACTAAGAAAATACTGTAGTAGCACTAAGCCTCATGTCCCCTGGCAAGCACTGCACTGAAAGGATTGGCACTTGGCCCTGCTTGATAGAGGATTTGCAATAAAAAAACAACATAGAAAAGAGTAAGTGATTTATGTAAAGCAACCATAGGAACACCTCTTTCCTTCCTCTCAGAACTGGTAGTATGCTGGGCTGTTAAATATTTCATTTAGAGGGTTTTTCTTTAAAACACAAAATTAAATGAAAAATAATGATTTGATTTTCATTTAGACACCCTCCTTGCACTAAAAAAGTCCTCTTTACAGGTAGGAAGGAAAGTGATGTTCTGCGATTTCAGAGGGGGTGAAACTGAGACTCAGAGGAGTCAACTAACTTAATTAAAAGGTGTGACAAAATATGCCTATGGCTGGGTTTCAAGTTCTATCCCTAGCAATCTTCTTCAAAAGGGGATGCCTGCCCTGAAAGGCAGCCATCACAAATCATTATTATCATATCCTTAGATAGAAAACTAGGTCCGGTGTTTACTACAGTGGTAAACAGACTGACCCAGTGCTAGAAAGCCACAGCAATTTCCTTGGAATAGAGAACATGACCGTGGTAAAGCTACTAGTTTTTTTTTCATTTGGAAAAAGCTCAACACTTCATGAATTGTTACAGACTCAGTGCACATCAGGTTCCTGCAGCTGCCTTCTGGTTTCTGAATACTGTCCTGCTAAGTTTACTTCAAGTCCATGGGCTGCTTACTGGAGCTCAAAAATCAGGGAACAACATGTAAGACAGAAATCTGACTGGGTTTCCTTCTGACCGAGAAAGCTGACATACTAATCCCATTAAAATTTTCCCTTTGCAAAATCTAGAGTAAAGATAAGATTAAGTATTTGCTCCCTCTCCGAGAGCTCACTTTCAATTCTATATTGAGATGTGCTGCCCAAAATTCCTTACACAGCACTTGGAATTCCCCTGCCCTGTTTGACTACCAATTGAGTAACAGTTGTACTTTTTGTTCTGCGGTGTGCCGGGCTGAGCAGTGGAGCCTCCCTCGGACTTTCCCAGGGGGTGTGGCAGGGTGAGCTGGAATGAATGCCAATTCATTATACAAGCGAAATCTCTGCAGCCAAGAGAGGCTAGAATTTTTAAATTAAAAAGCAGCCAGCAGCCAACAAGAAAGAGTTTCAATTTCTGTATTCCTACTGCTTTCCTTCTATCCTCCATCACAGGTCTGCGAAGAAACGCGTGGGGATTCAAAAGGGTGGGGTTTTTATTAAAAAATCCCAACCACTCCACAAACTCATATCAGGTAAAATATACACTGAAAGATCCTATAGGAGATACTTTCTCTGTTTTCAACAATTACAACTTTCATCCAAAAAAAAACCCCAGAATTTTCTGAAGGAAGCCCACCGCTGACTGAAAGAGCTAATACATTCCTCCCACATCTATAGGTTAAGCAGCTAAATCCTTTAATAAAATACTCTTCATGCCAAATGAAACCCCAACATACAACCCCATGTATTTTCTGGGATAATACATGGCTTCTCCAGGCTTCTGTTCCTTCTTTCAGGGATCCTCTCCCTCAGTCGGATCTACCTCCTCTCCTGTGCTAAGGTCTCTCACTACAACTACTTTGCATAAACCAGATTCACAAAGCCACTCCTGCTACTCATGCCCTTGATGACCCTAAAGCACTGAGCTGAAGCTGGTTGAGCAGCCAAGTGCACAGGGTACAGGGGAGCCACAAACAAGGTCCTTGCTTTGCCTTCCCTCAACTTGCCCTAATATTTCAGCATCTTGTATATTGGTATGCTGGCTCATGAATGAGATACAAGTCCACACTGTTCCCATGTGTAACACTGGTTGACAGTCATGAGACAAGGCAAGAAGTCACAGTTATTAAGTATAAGGTTGTCAGCAACAAGGGCCCGTCCAGGCAGTGTTAACCCCGGCAGGGCTCATATTGACAGGAGACAGAGGGATTCTAAAACTGCTGCTATTCACCCACACATTGTCCATTTTCCTAGCAAATCTGTTAGAGTGCATCTCTTGGGGCGAAGTTTGGAAGATGCAATGCTCCCAGCAATGTTACCTTCCTAGAACCTGTAGAGTGCTGCCTATCCCAGCTGCCACTCCAGCCCTTCTGGAAGTACAAGATCACATGAACTCCATGCACAGCCTAATTACAATTATGAGAATTTTATGCCAGTGCAGAGGCAGCCCACAGAAGCTCACCATAAGGACAATGCCTCTATCACAGTTACAGAGACACACATTGGGATCAGGCTGTTCTAGGTCAGGGCAGTAACATTAGCACAGCAGTTCTGTTACGGCTTTTGCACAACACGTCTGTGTACAATCAGACTGAGAAACATGGTAGAACTTGGGATGGGAAGAATGTGGACTAGAAGATAAGGACAATGAGTATATAAGCAGATAAGAAAAGCAGCATCCACAGAACATAACAGAAGGACTTCAACAAGGCTGCAGGTCTACCACACCCAGTGTTCCTATAGCCACTGTGATCTGCTCTTTGAGCAGAGTATGTATTTTCCATGTTCCTGGAGTCCTCACTGTCCCAGTCTACCTTCCCAGTTTGGCACAATCTGTGCTGTAGGGAATCCTGAGTCCAAGTTTTCAGGTACGTGACCATCAGTCATAGCTATTACTGAATCTTTTCTCCACTGAATGTGAAATGCCCAGCAAACCTTACAGTCATGTGCAAAAGTTTCCTGCTCAAGACTGTGGACACATGTGACCCATTCAGGCAGTCTTTGAGCTGCGGCAGTACCTTTTAATTTACAGCATTTGATGCAATACACACAATTTAACCCAAAATCCAAGTCCTCAAACCAGCACTTACCCTTGAAAGAAAAGGGCACTGCAACTTGGTGTTGCACAAGAATGGCTATAAATCAAACACACAGTAGTTACTGGTGAGTGCTGAGGGAATGCAAGAGCTGGCAAACCCTGCCAGGTAGCTGAGGATGAGGGAGGCAGCCGGGTGCAGGGTGCTGACTCCAGGGCCAGTGAGGACAGGCTCTCAGAGGCTCCATGTCCAGGACACTCCTGCCTGCACCACCATTAAAGTTGGATCAGCAAGTGAACCCTGCCTGACAGCTACGAAGGCAGGGCTTATGGCAGGACATTAATTCTGCTATATACACACGTAGGAATGCATCCCCGCCACTCAAAGCTGAAGGCTCCTCTTGCCTGGCATTAAAGGCAGCTCAGCACTTCTAATGAGGCAGCCAACACACCACAGAGTCAGATTCAAGTTTCCTGCCTGGTATTTTATTCTGACATGCCACAGGTTACCGATATTAAGAAAACATCTGTGAGATTTTCAGGCTATTCATAACCCTGTGGTATGGGCAGGGGTCTGCTACAGCCTCAGAACACTATGTCATGCGGAAAGAATTTTAGTTTACAGAACTAAGATTAAAAGGCATCACTTCTTTAAAGCTGTGCGCTTCTGATTCAGTAACATGAACTCAGATGCTATTAATAAAAGTGCTACATTCATATCAGCCATTTCAATGCAAGTGAAAAGATGTGCTCACAACTTACCATTAGTCTTCAAAGGGACAAGTCTCCGAACTTCCATGCACCAGTTGAGCTTCCTCTGGCGCTCCAGCGAAGTCTGGGTGGCCTGGTCAGTCAGGGCCTTCTGAAGCGTTTCCCGAAACTGAGGGCAAAACTGGCACATTCTGAACATTTCTATGGTGTATCTGTGCATAGTCCTGAAGTGGTGAATTATTCCACTGGGGGGTTTGACCAGATCTTCAGGTGTCCTCTCTCTAATCTTCATGGCTTTCAGCATATTGCTCTGATACAAAGCTTGGGGAAGGATGTGTTGGCCAGCCATGTTTCTAGAAGACATCTGAAATGAAAAAGCATCCTTTTATTGACATGTTAGTGTCCTTGCGCGACAGCGCTATCACTTCTGCAGAGACTGAGAAGGCAGTTTCAGGGGCTGGATTCTGACTGCAGTTTTGCCTAAAACAACCACAGAGTGGATGAAGTCCACTGCGCCTCATACAGATGATGCTTTTTAAAGCTGATACCCATTAGCCTTTCTGCATTTCTTGGGTATAGATACTGACTTTCCATCATTTTCTGCTATCATTTACTGAGATATTAAAGACAATTTATCCATAACTAAGGAAACTGCATCATTAAAAAAAAAAAAAGGCATTTAAATAAAAGTAAGGATAAAAGAAGGCAAGATCAAGGGAAGGGAAAATTATCCTGGAAACTTGACTAACTGATAATAGCACAGTGTAATCCCATATGAACTTGCTGAACTTCCAGCATGTTTCAAGCTCTCATTTTGATGACATGCCAAAAAAACAGCAGATAATGACCATTTCACATTTCCACAGCCCATACACTCTGAGAAGGGATGCTTGGTTCAGTGCAAAATGAGCCCCAAGAATTGCATGCCATGCTAGCATCTGCCCCATACTTATGGTGGCTGAAGATAGCAAATTTGTTGCAGAGCAAGTACTCAAGGACAGGCTTATATTACTCTTCTTGAGCCTTCTTGTATTTTGTGAGCATTAGGGCTACTGCCCAGAGATGCTCGTGCTGTGTGTGGGGGTGCAGGCTGCAGTGCTGCTATTACTCAGAGGTAAGTCAACATAGCTAAAAAAGCATTTCCATTTGGCTCAAAAACCCCAATATTTTTCCACAGTGGGACACGTAATGTTTGCTGCCCTGCATCCCTTTCTTCAGTATCTCTGGCCTCATGGGCTATAGCAGGAAGAACAAAAACCCCCATAACCTCAAACTATCTACATTTCTGAAGAACTTATGCATGGCACACTAACTCTGTGGCTAGCTAGAGCCAAACGTAGGGACCACATTCCTCAAAACCCCTGTGCACTACAATAACACTACCAACAACCTATTTTTACATGGAGAGGTTTCCAATGCTGTCTTTCTGTTTAAAAAGAAAGGAAAATTTCTATTAAGGCAAATAAAGGTAGTCATGCCTAACGTGTTTAGAACACAGCTGGCTACATGAGGAGAACACACCATTGTGGTTACGAATCTACGGACAAATATCAAGGCATAAATATCTATCAAGAGCTGAATATACACCTTTCCAAGTACAGGTAGACAAGAAGCAACTGAAAACCAGTTTATGAAGCTATTAGGAAACTTTCTCAGGGAGATGTGAGTCTGGAAGGCCAGGAAGAGGAGGAAGGTCTACAGCCTGATGGACTGACCAGGAAGACACTCCCAGGTCTGCAGAGGCAGAAGACCCCTCTTGCACAAAATGACTTAGCGCGCCCTTCCCACAGGGAACCAGCTGCTCTCTCCTCTTCCCCAAGACACTTCCATTGGTAACCTCCACCTCCAACCACATAACCAGAGCACTGGAAAGGACCCTGCCAGAGTATGATGGGGGCCTTAAACACCTGCTGCCAAAAGCTGCCTTCTATAACCTCTCAAAGTAACAGGTGATGGAGAGGTTCAGTAGATGTCCCATCAAGCCCTAAAAAGAAGCAGGTGAAATACAAGATGCTGCAAAGTCCTCTCCGCTCAGTCAGAGCAATTGCAATTCACACAGCACTTCCTCTGATCTTGTAAGAGCACTAGAGACAGGGCTCAGAGCTGGCATTTCTTGCAATACATGGAAAATGTTTTCTTTAGCTAACAAACATGGCATATTATTATCATTCCTCCACCAACATACAGCCGTATAATGGAAATAACACATTTTCTCATGAACTCTCCCTACCAATATGGTTTTACACGTGCTATTTTGTAATCCCGTATTTAAATGTATGGATGATTTAAAAAATTAAACATAAACAAGCCTTTATTAATCTTTGTTTAATAGCTGTACTTTGCGCTGAGATGTCTGAATTCTTACTGATGTAAGTAGAGTCCTTGAGTCAATGGGATTTTCTTACATGAATAAAGACTAATCACATGATTAAGCACTACCAGCACGGACCCTTGAAATGGTTATTTCCAGCTTTATGTAACGAAAAGTACTGAGTTTAGAGAAGCGTTTGCTGAAACTGTTACTCAATATTATATTCTGCAGGCATATTTTCCCTTCCACACATGGAAATCACTGTGCTATTTATAGTCATTAGATGTCAATGAAGGCAACAGCTGAACAACTCTTATTTTTCAAAAACAATGTGATGAAACAAGCAGAACTTACCAGCTACCTAAGGTAGGGCTTTAAAGGTCAGAAAACACAGCTACAATTAGATTAGTTTATACTGCACCGCGCTTTAGTAGACACTATACTGTTTTAACCTTTTGACACGTACTACGAGTTCCCAGAACGGCTGTAAACAATGATTCGACAGCGATCTGAGGCGGCATCCTTCCTGAACATGCAGTACCGGGGATGCTCGGGAAAGCTGCACGCTGTCCGGAGATGTTCGGTGGTTTCATAGAGTTACACCGACTCCGTGCCCTCCGAAAAGCAGCAGTAACAAACCCACGGAGTTCCAGGGCTGAAGAAACACACCCGCGGCGCCCGCCCAAGCCAGCAGGAGGCGCGGCACGCCCGCAGGCGGCCAACGCGACCCCTGCGGACCCGCCTGGTCCCCTCGCAGTCGAGTGGCACGCCGGAGGGGAAGCCGCCCCGCCGCCTTCCTTCCCTCCCTCCCTCCCTCCCGCCTTTCTTATGCTCAAGCGGTGCTCACCTGTCCGCCGGCGGGCTCCTCCTCCGGTCGGTAACTCCTGCTTCAGCAACGGGGCTGGGGCGGTGGGGAGAAGTTGTATTCGGCAGCCATCAAGCCCCGAACCGAGCCAGGGCTCAGCTTCCCTCCGCCGCACTCTCCGCGCCGGAGCTGTTGCTGTTGTTGCTGTTGCCGCCGCGGAATGAGGGGCTGAGCCGAGCCTCTTGGGGCTTTTTTTTTTTCCCCTTTCTGTTTCAGCGCCCTGGCGAGGAAGAAAGGAGAAAACACACAACAACAAAAAGCCCCACCGGGGATTTCCACCGGCAGCGCCGGGGACTTTCCGACATGTGACAAGCGCCGCCGGCACGCACGGCGGCCGCCGCTAGAGGGCTCCGCCGCATTCCAGGCCCGGCCCAGCACAGCACAGCTGCGGGGAGGCCGCTTTGGCTTACCGCCGGGTCTTTCGGAACCATTTGACGTTTGGGCCTTCCTTATTCCGCACCCCACCATAGGGGTGTGTACGGGGGACGGGACGACTCGCTACGGTGCTCGGTGGGGGTGTGAGGCAGCCCGTGCCTCTAGTGGCTGGGGCCGGAGCAGCGTCCCGGTGTGGGGTATCGTCCTGTCGCCAGCGTGGCGGTGGAGAAGGTCCCTTGGGCTGCGGGGAGTTCTGCTGGGGAAGCGGCAGCTGCAGCTTGTCGTGCCGTGTCCAGAGCGGGGGACAGCTCTCTTGCACCCCGGTGTACTCGCATCCCCTCTGCAGCAGCAGCGAAGGAGGCGCTGATTTCCAGGAGCCGTTCTCGTCCTCGTCCACATGGGCAAGCGTTGCACAGGGCCCGCTGGCCTCTGTGCCCACGCGGAGACTGGTGTCAGAGTGTAGGTGCTGGGTGTAGGTGCCCACACCCCTGCAGGTATCATCCCAACAGGATGGAAAGGGAGCCCTGCCTATTAGAAGACATTGTTTTACCTGTTTTCGAACCCAAGCAAGTTGTAGTTTTTCCCATTTAGTTTGTATTTGCTTCACAGGTTTAATTTGTATTGTAAGTAACCACAAGTGGCTTCATTTCTCTAATTAGAGGTTAGACTGATATGTAATCCTCTGACTCCATATGCTGGCATTTTAAGGCAGAAGATATGCCTTAATCCAGCCCTGCTCAAAGTAAGGTTGTTGTAGGCAAGGGGTAGAACTTCTGCCTGAAGTTACCAAATCAGGAAGATCTTAGTGCATAGGTGTGTTTGTAAACTCTTGGACATGCCTAGCAGTTTCTAGGAATCATGACATTTAATTATTGTAATCAATTAATTCACACCTTTAAACAACATTCTAAAATCTGTGCAGTGGAAAAACATGCTGAATAAAAATACTTAAGGCCTGTTAATATGACTTGAGGAGATTTCTGCTGGAAAGAGGGGAGTTCCTTGCTCAGCAGCCTTGCAACATGAAGGCACTCAGAAATGAAATACAACACGTTTCTTGCAGCCTTAAAGGACTTTATCCTTAGGCTGAACTCCTACCCATTCTTGAGCACCCGCCGCTCTTGATGAGAAGCCAGGGTAGCACCACACTTTGGAATTAGGTCTTGAGTCCTTCAGAGAGCAGGTGGATTTTGGAAGAGTTCAGCCTTGGGCTACCTCTTGGGCTCTCAGCTCCAGCAGCAGGCTCAGGTCCTGTGCTTGTGCTACATGGTGTGGTTATGTTGCAGATGCTCTTTCCCAGTATTTGTAGGCCTGTGGCTGGCTCTGTGAAGCCTGCCATCCTTCTCTGCATTTGTTCAAAAAGAAGTCAAGGATATGGCTGGAAAAAGAATAATCCCTTCCATTCTTTTATGGGGATTTTTAAGGTTTTTAGTACAGCTTTTTTCCCCTCCCCCCCCCCCCCCTTTTTTTTTCCCACCTAGCCTCTCTGCTGCCTTGGTAAATAGTCGTTTGATAGGAAGGCGCCACACTTAAAGACTGAGGGGCTGAGGGATGGCTGGGATCCAGGGGGCTGGATTCCTGAGTAACTGGGCTGGGTAATTACTTGCATAGCCAGGGCAGCTATGTGTGTGTGGTGTGGTGTAATTTACCCAGAGTATGTTTCCTTCGGCATCTTCCTGTTCCCTGCTCCTGGATAATTTCCCTGTCACCTCATGTGGGCTGAGACACTGGATTACTGATTAGGAAAAAGATACATATATGTGTTTGGTTTTATCCAAAGCATTTCTCTCGTGTTACGAAGCCTGACCCCTCAGAGGGTTTTACAGAGATCATTTGAAGTGATAGAGAGTTTCACTGTGGAGTGGGAATGAGGAGCTAAAGTAGGAAGTAGGGAAAGACAAGCTGACTTATACCCTGCTTTGTACATGAAACTGCAGAAAATAGGCTAGCAAGTGGTCCTAGCCCCTTCTGGTTTTCAATTACTAGAAAGCGGAAAGGAAAATAGTGTAAGTAAGGAGACCAATGGTTCTGCAGTTATTAGCTATGAGCCTATGAGGGAGAGGCTGAGTCCCAGGAAAACCTGAAAAGGCAACAGCTTATTTTTGTGTTTCCAAACAGTAAGCACATCTGAGTATTCCTAATTGTTATTTGCACCTTGATAAACTGAAAGTTGATTTCACGTGGCATGGCTAAGGCTGATGTTTATCATACACATCTGAGCAGGATGGCAGGAATTCATTTGATCTGAAGTTGCACAGCACAAGATGAAGTTTTGTCTTGTCAACTGGATCTCCTAGGCAATGTAGGAATACATTAAAAACATCAACAACATCAATAATTGTAGAACACATGAACACGCATTCCTCTTTTCTGATCTATTCCTATTTATTGTAATTCTACCCCATGGATTATCCCATCATTTATGTTATTTATATCTGACAAAATATAAACATATATATGTATATGTAAGGGCAAGGAAAATTTTCTTCTTTGAAGTGTGTGTGTAGACACACATACATACACACATACCTATATATATACATACACACACATGTTTTTATGTATGTATATGTATCTGTATCTCTTGAGGGGAAGGAGAAGTTCTCCTTGCCATTGAGGACAGGATAAGAAATAATTTCAACTGCAGCTACCTAGATGCTGGTTAGGCTTAAGGGTAAAAAAAAATCATCCTTATAAGTGGTGAAGTTTCTATAACCCTGGAGCAGTTTCTATAACCCTGAAGAAAGCTGCAGAATATCCATTTTTTGAGGGGAATTAATCAGTTTCATGCATATCAGTCACTAATAGTTCTTTATTGTACCTGGGAAGAAGAATAAATCTCACAAGTACCCATTCAGCTCTGTATCTCTAAATTATTTTAATTATTTCACTTCTTTTTTTCTGTTCAGGAAGTAGGAGCTCATGCTTGGAGCCTTCAGAACACCACCACCAAGTGTTTCAGAGATTATATTAGGAAAGACTCATTGTTAAGACAGTACTGCAATATTCTGTTATAGGAGGATGACTGTGATAATGCTTATGGATAGTAGCATTCAGCATTTAATAGCTCAATCATTTGCTAGGTCTTTCAGTATCAGATAATTCTGTAAGAGGGGTGATTCATCTAGAAGGGAGGAAAAGGATCTTAAAAGGGAAATCCCTTCTATTGCAATAGCAGTGGTTGAGGTCACACTTGAGTTCAGGATTTCTGTCTTCCAGGAGCCCTTTTGTTGCTTCTTTTCGTGGTGGAGAAGCAATGAGAAGAGCTTGTCGGTGCAGAGAAGCAAGAAGGAGGAAAATCCCTTAAGCCTCTATCAGACAGCAAACCAGTGCTTACTACTGAATCCAGTAGTGATAGTAAAATAAATAAATAAATAAATAAATAAATAAAATACCCAAACCTGTCTCTGCCAGTTAGATAGGAAGAGCTGAACTGGTTCTGTGAGTTTTCCATTACACTTATCCAAATGCAGTAAGAGACTCTAGACTCCCTGGGAGGTTATTACTGGGTATTGTGGCAAGAGACTGCACTGGGAGTAGGGGTTCATGCTAGTGGGACAAGGTTCCCTCTGCTTTTTCACTTTATGGAGGCAAACACTGGACATTTTTAACAGGTTTTATTAGCCAGAAGAGGGTTAGGTATGGCCTTAACCATACTTAAGGTTGGCCTTAACCATACTTACCTCCTGGTGTGGAGGTAACTGGCAAGCTGAAATCTCTGAATGCTTTTACAGCTCTGTTTTATGAGAGTGTGAAATGTGTGAAGAGGTTGCAGTGGCAGTGATAATATCTTTCTAACTTGATTTTTATCTGTCATACATTCCTGTGATATCTGTAAATAGTGGATCAAGCCTCAGGCCCATGGGAACTGCAGAGACAGAGAGGTACGTATAGCTACATTTGAGACAGCACCACAGCCCAGCATTACTCACCTTTGCAATGCACAGTACAGAGAATTCCAGTCAGCCCCAGCAAGAAATAAGCACAAGACCTACATTATTATTGCCTAGGAGAGTGAAGTGCTTTCGTTGGATTTTGAAGCAAGCTGAAACAGGGCTTGTGGCTAAATTGAAGAAAATAAAAGCAGCAGTAGTAAGCCAAACCAAAGGCCCATGGAGCTCAGTGCCCTGTTCCTCACACTGATTAGGAAGATGCTCAGGAAAGAGCACAGAGATGGGGTCGTTGTTCCTGATGCTTTTCCAGCCCATACTTTGCCACAGTTTTCCTGTGGGATTTGGGTTTGTGGCTTATCGGTTTCTCAGTTATATGGTAATTGTAAGGATTTTTCATGTCTCACATTTTTCAACATCTTGCTTGTTTAATTCTGACTACAAACTCTTTGTGACTGAGCCTTTTCTTGTTTTGTGTTTGCTGTACCTTAAGACCTAGACACATGGTTATTTACTGTGCATATTAACAGTGTGGTCTTTGCTTCAAGAAAGTTACCATCTAAGTGTAGCAGACTTCACTACACTGTAAACTAGAACTTTCATAATGGTCTTTGATTTAGGTTGAGAGTTGCAAACATAAAGCTCTGCACAGATAACACTGCAGAGCAATGGGTTCTGCAGTGTTATCTATGGATGTAGAAAACTTCCTGCCTTAATGCACAGAGCAAATGGTTTAGGCAGTGCAAGCCCACTCATTTTAGCCTTTCTCTTGGTCTTTAGGCTGGGACAACTGCTGTGCTGCCTAAATGTAGAGTGCACACCACAGCAGGGAGCCCTAAAGCAGAGTCTGGATTTCCGAGTTGTTTGTTTCAGCCAGCACATGAACATCGAGGAGTCAGCAACTGCTTAACAAACAAATAGCTAAAGACAGTGCCTTGTCAGAAGTCTGGCAGGAGCTACTGTTGTTTTCTTTCTGTATTCTGTGTATGTGAGCAGCTGTCCTAACTTTAGATGTGAGGTAAGCATTTAGCACAGAGCTATACCCTCTCGGAGTAGATGGGAAGGGTCAGGGAATGCAGGTAGT